CGGCGGAGCGGAGCCGAGCGGAGCCCGGGGGAGGCCAGGGGAGCCGGGCCCAGCGGAGCTCAGCGGAGCTCAGCGGAGCTGAGGTGAGACTTGAGGCCCCCGGGCTTTCCGAGCCCCCCGGGGCGGTCCCGGTAGCGCCGCTCCCCGCGGGCCGGGCTGGTGGGCCGCCCCAGGGCCGGGCCTGCCGGGGCGGGGGGCGGTCGGACCCAGCTGCCGCAGGGCCCGGGGGTTGGCCGGGGACGACTCACCTCGGGCTCCCGGGACCGGCGGCCGCGGATCTGCTCTGACGCGAGCTGCGGGGACGGTATCGGCCCTCTCTGTAGTGTTACTTAATCGCCAAGAGCCAAGTTCCTCTGGTGGAAATGAATGGGCTCTGACTGCTCTTTAGATCTGGGTCAACAAAAATCACATGGAAAACATAGCATGGTAAAAAAACGAAAACAAAACTAAAACTAAAACAAAACCAAAAGAAAACAGGAATAAGCCGTTTATTGCTCAATAGTTAAATCATGGACCTTAAGGCAGCGAAGCGTCTGCTGGGCTGTCACACAAACCCCATGTTCCCCGTGTTTCTCTGATTTTCCCAGCAGCATCCCAGTCCCTCCAACGCTTCCGTGCTAACTTTTTTCGCCCTTCATTTAATTTTTTGCGGATGTGCTTCCCTAAGCAGTGCTGTGACACAGGCTGCTGTGGGCGSTCACGCCAGGGAAGGTTGAAGTTCGTGAGCGGCATGGGTGTGCTCTGARAGCAAATTAAATATGTTGCAACCTATTTTAAAGTMGTAATRCTTCTYTCTRAAAGATTACAGAATTATTGTRTCATTTAGKTTGGAAAAGACCGGCCAGCACGGCGGTTGTGCCTGGTGGCCAAAGCTCCACTTGGGTACTGAGCTGTGGAGGTACCTGTTTTACTCGACACCGGAGTTTCAGGTAGTTTGTAGGATGAGTTTCTGCTTGTAAYGAGACCAGCAACCACCTCAATTCAGGGGTTTTTTTGTTTGTTTCAGGGGTGTCCCTGAAGCATGGCAGTCAAATGGAACGGTGGCCATTCCTCCTCTATCCTGTGCCTGAACGTGAGCGCGGAAGGGCTGGTGGCCTCCGGCGCGGAGCGGGGCGAGCTGGCGCTCTGGGATGGGGGAGGCTCGCCGGTGGCTCAGCTGCGGCTGCCGCAGGCGGAGGATGTCACCTCGGTGGTGTTCTCCGSCCGCCGCCCCAGCACGCTGTACACCTCCCACGGAGAAACCATCAGCGTGCTGGATGTGCGCTCCCTCCACCAGCCCCTGGAGCGCCTCCACGTCAACGAGGAGGAGATCAACTGCCTCTCACTGAACGACACCGATGGCTTCCTGGCTGCAGCAGATGACTCCGGGGCCATAAAGGTTGTGGACTTGGAAAGCAAGAAAGTCAGCCGGTCYTTGAGACACTCCAACATCTGCTCCTCTGTTGCCTTCCGACCTCAGCGGCCTCAAAGCCTGGTTTCCTGTGGACTGGACATGCAGGTGATTTGCATATATGTGCACGGTTATTGGTGAAGTGAAACAGTAATTACCCACCTGCGTAGTGAGGTGCCCACAGACTTTCACCGAGCATGAAGGTGTTCAGCCTGCAGACCCAGAAAGCTCCCTCACTATTCTGAAGTAGTTTTGGTCCAAAAACTAAATGTTGAGGCTTTTTGTGACCATGTTCTGCTCAGCAGCTTCTGTTTTTATCTTCCTTAATATTCACAGTTCAAAAGTGAGCAGGTTGGGGGAAAATCAGAATGCACTGCCGTGCTGACTCGAGCCATATTAGCTCTTTGTTGGGCTCAGCAAAACCAAAAGCTGTCCCTAGGAATCAATTGTGGCTACAGTCGAGATGCAGAGGACAGGGAGGAAAAGGCACAGTGCTTGAGGCAGGCAGGTATGGCAGTACTTTCCAAGTGGAACATATCACTGTGAGGACAARTGATTTGTATAATTTATCCTTTGTTCTGTTGACCTCTTAAAAGCATGAAGTGTTGTTTGCCTTTTACGCTTCTCTGTCCTCATCAAGAGGAAGCTTTGTCCGTTGCATTCTGAGAAGAATCATGCTGGGATTTAAGTCCAGAGCTGGCCACCCAGAACAGATGTGTTGTAGTAATTTTTATRCAGTGGTTGAGATCTGACCATATTCCTGGTTTAGCCTGATACGAAAACTGTCACTTCTCAAAGGTTTCTGTGGTTCCAGCAGTGTCAGGGTGAAGTTTGTGTGACAGCATTGAGCAGTTTCACACTGAGTTCTTGAAACCAAAGTGCATCTCACACCCATTAGAGCAAATACATGTTGATATTTAGTATAAGCTGTGTTTTTCTGTGTCAAAGCCATGATGATAGATCMGGTGTGGAAGAAGTGAACACTCAATCCCTCAACTGGCTTAATTCTGGTCCCTAAAACATAGATACACAAGCTTATGGCTGAAAACTTTTTAATCAGAATTGTAAGCATTTATGTACAACTAGATGTAAGTGAGCTGATTAATTTTTGTGATGTTTTAGTGTTAGTTTTCATTTATTGTAGCTCAGCAAGTTGGTTTTTAGGTGAAAGTCAGTATCCCAAAGCAGGATTTCATTAGTGTGTTTTTGTACAGTGAAAAGAGCGTCATTCTGCATTGAGGCTGCATTTAAGGTACATCATTTCCCAATGAACTCTAAAGCTGCTCTGTGCCTTTGGACAAGTTAGGAGCTCTGTGAGCATCAAAACGTGTTCTGGGCTTGCACATCAAACCCTCAGGGAAGCCGTGGCTGATGAGAAGTAAAATTTAGGAGTATTTATGCTGGAGTTTTTTTCAGGAGTTCTGATAAAGCAGGGAAAATGCCATGAGGACAGGAAATAGTTTGCAGAAAACTTGTCAGCAGTTGATGGATTCCTCCGGCTGTTGCAGTGCTGTCTGTGAGGAAAACAGGAGTATTTTCTGTAAGCATCACCCAGCCCCTCTGATTTACAGTAAATCACAGTTGTTGTGGAAGTAGTTTTAATGCAGCAGCAACAGCAGYCACTGAAACAGGAAAGTGACAGGAAGCACATTTCAGATGTTTTAGTGTGGTTTGGATTCCAGAAATGGAGAGCCAAGCTCTTTTGTGAACAAAATTTAAAGACTTCTGTATTTCTTACTCGTGATTACTACTGAAGGAATCTTTTTATTAATAACAAATTAAAGCTGAGCTTTATGAAGTAAACAGTACACCGGTGCTGCATTAGACTGACATGTACTTCTGGATCTTGAGAATGCTCATTGACAATTCAGATCCTACAAAAGTCTTGAGAGAATTACTTTTAATTGGCTCAGTATAGACCTGTAGTGCTTGAACTACTGTACCAGAAACACAGGTTTCTTCATGGGGGGCTGGAGGTGGGGTTGCATTGGGAAAGTAAGTCTAAAAGCATGACCTCCCCCGATCTCATCAGAAAAAGAATGCCCTACTCCATAGCACAAACCAGATCTACTCACTGGATATAAAAATAAAATATGAATATGCCTGATAAAAAATAACAGCCTCAACTACTGTTTGCATTTTGCTGTCCCATTTTTCAGACACGTTCATGGAAGTGACTATTTTAGGCCAAGTAGCAGAGACAGAAATCCAGAATGATAATTGTCTCTATTCACTGCTAGCATTTCCGTGTCCCTCCTTCTCAATAATTGATGTGCAGTATGTCATGATTACTACTGCTGAGATGAATGCAAAGGCTTTTAGAGCAGCGTTTGCATCCCTTTCGTGGTCTAAAGGTCTGAGTCATTGCAGAATATGGCAGCGYGGCTTTGGAAAACAAGCCAGAAAGATGTTCTACATTCATCAGGGCAGGTTTAACCACTCCTCTCCACAGGCCTTACACCTCTTGGAGTCAAGCACAGCCTTTGCTCTGCTAGGGCAAGAAGTGTGGTGGTTTATTTTTACTATTAAAGATCCAATTTTGTGTAACACATGCACAAATTGATTTATCCTATTTTTCTTTTTTTCCAGGTGATGCTGTGGAACCTGCAGAAAGCTCGCCCCTTGTGGACCACAAACCTGCAGGAGTGTGACGTGGAGGAAGAGAAGCTGCAGTCAGCAGGGCAGTTCTTTAACCCACCGCTCGCACATTCCCTGTCTGTCGCCTCCTGCGGCAACATCTTCAGCTGYGGAGCTCAGGATGGTAAAATCAGAATATTCCGAGTCACTGGGGTCAGGTTTGAACACGAGCTGGAGTTCCAGGGTCACAGTTTGGGAGTCTCGCAGGTGCTCTTTATGCCAGAGGCCTACTGGTTGTTGTCTGGAGGAAACGACGGGAAGGTCTTGCTCTGGGATGTCAGCAGCAACATTGGAAAGCAGCAGAAAAGTCCAGCAAAATCTCTGCACAGGAAGAAGGCCCAAGCAGCTGGTTCCAGCAGAAAAGATGGGAAGCTCAACAAAGTGGCCTCAAAYGAACATGCTGTGGTTGTGCCAAAGCTCAGCATTGAGCATGGAGAGAAGGTGAACTGGCTCTCGTGTGCAGAGATCAAAGGCTCCAGGAGAGTGTTGGTCGCTGACCAGACCAGCTCTGTATCAGCCTATCCATTGCCAGAATCTTAAGGCATCTGGGTGTTTACAGAGATCTGGGGGACAAAACCACTTCTGAGAGCCAGTTACATCCACTGACAGTGAAGTGGACAGTGACCCCCACTGATTCCCTGGGAAGGGGAAGGGATTTGCTGTGCACTCATGATGTCCGTGGCCTCGTGCTGGTTCTCTGTGGCTGTTCACAGCCACTGTCTCTTGCAGGGTTGGCAGTTTGCTGCTTGAATTTAAGTGAAACGGGTCTCTATATTTAGAGGTA